CCCCGCTGGCCCTGCCTGCCATCTGGTCGCCTGTGGCCTCCTGTCATTTCTGACAAGCGTGTGCAGGATGCCACGCGGGTCCAGGCCTACAGCAGTGACAGGGGGCCGCTTTCCTTTTTCTTTAAGAGCTTAGTCTTTGAAATGTCTTCATCTACAGACCAGAAACTCTCAGTGGAAAAATATTTCGCCAGTTCCTCATTTTATATACTACTTTTGAGCCAGCAATCTATGTACCTCGGTCAAAACCCAGAGACTCTAAAAATCAAATGGCTTGGCTCGGGAACCAGGCGGCAGGTGGCTTGGGTTCAAATTCTAGCTCTGCCACTGAATTGTGTGACCTTGGGCAAATTATTTAAGAATGCTGTGTCTCTGTTTCCTCAACCACTACACGCAGGCATGAGCACAAGCACTGCATGGGCGCGCACACACACTGCGTAAGCACACACACACGCACACACGGCACCTTCCTTAGGGTGATGCTGGAGGGGCTAAATGTAAGAACTCAGCAGAGTCTCTGGCTAAACAGCAAATGCCAAATGAACGGCACTGTGTAACCCGAAACCCCAGAGGAGCCAGGCCGCCACAACCGCCACAACAGCGCCTCCCTCCCCACTGAGATATAAACTGCAAACACTGCCCGGTGTTCTGCTCTGACCAACACTTCAAAGGAACAGATGAAAACCCTACCTTGGGGTAGGGGTAGGTACTAGCTGGGAACTCCAGCCCGTTACCATGTAAAAACTAAGCAAACAGGAAACAGTAACTCTTTTCTTTTATTGGCACATTTTAGATATACAATGATAACATTCATCTTACCTGTACACAGTATAGCTTGCTTCTTTTTTTTCATTCCCCCTCCCCTTAGCCCCTGGTCTTTTTTGTTTCCATTTTCCTCCTTTCTTTTTCTTGTCTCTTCTTCCCTTCCCTTGTTCTCCTTCTTTTGAACATTTTCTTCCCATTTCCCAATATCTATTATACATTTTGGTACTTATTTATACTTTCTTTTTCTCACATCAGACAGTGATATTTACACATCTGTCTCTGAATTATCTCAGCTAACAGTATGGTCTCAAGGTGCATCCATTTACCTAGAAATGTCCCAAACTTATCCTTCTTTATGGCAGAGTAGTACTCCATTGTATTAAAAAACTCCACCTGTTCTTTATCCATTGTTTTAGTTACTTTTCTCTCATTGCTGAGACAAAATACCCAACCCGCAGAGTTAAAGGAGGAAAGGTTTATTTAGCCCACAGTTTGTGAGGTTTCAGTCCATAATTGGCTGGCTCCAAGGAAGGGTGGCACATGGCAGAGGGCAACAGCTGATGGTGGCGGCAGAGGACAGCAAAAGCAACAACAGAGAAAGAGAGTGGGGGAGGGGAGAAGCCTCTTTCTGTCCCTTATAGTGTATCTATCGGGACTAGGGTGGTGTCAATCCAATCAGTGGACTGATCCAACAATCACCCATGGTTTACACCAGCAATTTTAATCCCAATATTATACTTCGCATCAATCACACACTGTAGATTTAGCCACCTCCAAAAAAACCCTATGACTGCATGAGGCTTCAGGGGAGCATCTAGACACAAGCCACAAAACCCACGAACAACTACTTTGAAGATAACAATATGCAATACAATGACCACTGTTAATTTCCTATCATTTTGTTTTCAAATTCTGTATCATTTTTATTGTATTTTTTCTCTCTTTCAAATAACACCTCCCCCACAAAAACATCATCCATTCATTGGTTGATAAGCATTTGGGCTGTTTATAAGATTTTGTTATTACAAACTCTGCTGCTATAAACATGGGTGTCCATATATCATTGTAGTATGATGCTTTTAATTCTTTCAGGAAGAGACGCAGAAGGGGAATAGCTGGATCCAATGGGACCTCCAGTCCTAGTTTTTTGAGGAATTTCCACACTGATTTCCACAGTGGTTGTACCAGTCTACACTCCCCCCAACAGTAGAGAAGGGTTCCTTTTTCCTTACAGCTCTGCTGGTATTTGTAATTGGCTGGTTTCTTGATAATAGCCCTTCTTTCTGGGGTGAGATGGAACCTCAGTGTTCTAATTTGCATCTCTTGAATGATCAATGATTTTGAACATTTTTTCATATATTTATTTGCCATTTGTATTTCTTCATCTGAGAAGTGTCTATTCATTTCAGAGGCTCATTTTTGGATTGGGTCTTTAAATTTAAGGGGTCTGTTTTTTGAGTTCCTTATATATTCTAGATTTAGTCCTTTGTTTGGAGAACAGCTGTCAAAAATTTTTCTCCACAGTGTAAGTTGTCTCTTCACTCTGTTGGTGGTTTCTTTTGCAGTGCAAAAGCTCTTTAATAAGATGATATCTCATTTGTTGATTCTTTGTGATAGTTCCTGTGCAATGAGGTTTTGTTCATAAAGTCTCTGCCTACACCTATGTCTTCAAGAGTTCTACCTAGTCTATCTTCCGGCGGACTAAATGTTTCTGTTTTTATATTTAGATCTTTGATCCATTTTGATTTTTAGTTTAGTTTATGGTAAAAGAGATAGGTCTACTTTTAATCTTTGGCATGTGGGAAGCCAGTTTTCCTGGCACCATTTATTAAAGAGGCTTTCTTCCAGTGAAAGTATTTGGCTCCTTACCAGATATAAGGGGGTGGAATATGTCTGGAGTTGTTTCTGTGTCTTCTAATCTGTTCCATTGATCCTCAGGTGTGGTGTTTTTTTTTTTTTTTTCCTAGTACCATGGTATTTTTTATCACAGTAGCTCTGCAGTATAATTTTAAGTCAGACACAGTGATGCCCCGTGCCTTGCCTTTGTTGCCCAGAATTTTTTTTTCAGAATTGCTTTTGTTCTAGGTCTCTTCTGGTTCCACACGAATTTTAGGATTGTTTTCTTTAATTCTGTGAGATACGTTATTGGAATTTTGATCGGGATTGCATTAAATCTGTAACCAGTTTTGGAAGTATGTCCATTTTCACTACACTGGTTCTCCCTATCCAAGAACAAAGGGTATCTTTCCATTTTCTGATGTCCTCTTCGATCTCCTTTTTCAAAGTACTGTAGTTTTCAATGTAGAGGTCTTACTTTCTCGGTCAGATTGATTCCTATGTATTTCATTTTTTGGGCTGCTATTGGGAAAGGCGTTGCAGGAAACAGTAACTTTTGATGGTATTAATTAACTGCAAGCCACTGAAGCACGTCAGAAAAGGGGAAGGTGAGCAGATAGGAGACACTAGTTTGCGGCAGTGTTAATGAACTGCAAACCAGTCAAGCACCTGAGAGGAGCAGAGCTGAGCAGAATCAAGGGTAACAGGTAGAAGGGAGCCTGCTCTAGTTAACACTGGCCGGTACATTTCTACAATCTTCCAAATGTAATTTGTTAATGTGCTCTCACGAAGTTATGTTTACCTTCAACATAACGGAGTTATGCTGTCAGACCTGGACTTTCGGTGGTGACTTTAAGACGCCCTGCCCGCCACTTCCCACTACTCTACATCTTGGGTGTCTTTGCGCAAGGACCGTGCCCCTGGTTCCTGCGGCTTACTTAGGACATTGAACGTAATGTATTATTTGTTCCCTCACAGCAAGGTCTCCTCCTGAAAGGCAGGATTCTATTATTCTGTCATAAGTAATTATAAATGTACACCTCTAAAAAGATTCCTGATTTGAGAGGCATCATCTACTCGGGACAGTAAATCACGGAGACATTTCCATCCTTTGGGTGGCCAAAATGTACAACTCAGATGTATGACTCTCACTCTGAATTCTCCAGGCCAGAAAAAATAGAATGCTCTACTTTCTCCCTGGGGCAGTTAAGGAGGAAAAAAAAAAACCCCAAAATACAAACAAACAGAAAACCAGGCACTTCTGTTGGAATTTATATGGGTTCACCCCACCCCTGCGGCAGCAGGAAGGCTGCATCTCTGTGCTGACGAGGACACATACAGGCACGCGTAGGTTAAGGGTCTGGGCAATGCAACATTAGGCGATTTTGCCACTGTGTGGTTACAGAGTGGGCCTATGCATACCTAGGTGGTATCAGTCAATCACTTGCTGTGATCTCCTGGTCCATCGAAAGACATAGTAAATGGGGTGCAGAAGGCTGCTGCTGGTGTCACATGCATACTGTTTTACAGTGAACTGGTTTTTAAAAAAAGAGGTAGAAAGAGTATATTCTGACAATAAAGAGTAAAGACATTAACCAGTAACACGGCTGCTTCTTACTGTCAAGTGGTATTATGTACCATCATAACTGCATGCGCTGTACTTTCCCACCACCAGCACCACCGCAAATGTACAGACAATGAATATGCTATGACATTTTTTTTTTTTTTTTTTTGGTTTTTCTCTGGTACCGGGAACCGAACTCATGACCTTGCGCTTGCCAGGCAGGCGCTTTGCCGCTGAGCTAAATCCCCAGCCCCTGCTATGACATTATGATGGCTCTGATGAGCAGACCCCAGAGCACAGAAATTTTTAATTCCGTTATCATCTTATGAGAGCGCAGCTAATGGAGGACTGAAACAGCACCTCGCTGGCCAGGACAGCACCCTGGTGACGCCGGAGCACTCAGGCCACTCTGCGATCACATCCACAGCTAGTATTTGGTAGGCGCTCCTGTAAGTGCTTCGTACACAGTACCTCCTTGGATCTCCACAAGAAAATATCAGGTGGGGACCATCCGTTGTTAGCATCATTTCACAGATGTGGTAACTAAAATTGATAAAGGTCTCAGTGTGGGAATGACAGATCTGGAATTCAGATTAAGGTCAACTGAATACCAAAGCCATGCTCTTATGCCTGAAACAATTATTTTCTCTGGGGTTAGCCTTTAGAAGAACAGACAACTTCTCTATTCTGTTTAGTTGTGAAGAACCTATCACCCTAAAACACGAAGCACAGGTTACCTCACTTTGGGTGTGTAAGTCAAAATGAAAACAGTGGCATCTCAAAGTGACTGATTTTCTTTATAGGAAATTATTTTCTTGATGCATAGCATTTCTCGTACCCCCACCTTGAGCACTCAAGCTTCCAGAGGAGTCCAGGTATTGCTCCAGCGGCTGGTGACTGGGAGGGACAATTGGTGGGCTTAACACACTTAACCAGTCCCTGCGAAGGAAAGCAAGAAAAGGAAGTGAGTGAACGACATGTCTACAATTCCACACACAGCCTTTACGTTTGCTCTGAATTTGCAGTTCCCTTAAGTTTCCACATCCTGCACATTTCAGAAAGATATGATGCCCAGATATTAATGTAGTTTTATAAGCTGATTAACATGGCATCAATCACTTCCGTAACCAGTTATTTGATAAATATATTGACGAAGTGATGACTCTTCCTCTCAAGAGTTTATTATTGCCATTGAAGTATAGCGCATTTTTCTCACATAAGAAAATTATTTCAGTGACTTAGAAGAAACACAGCATGGTAAGAAAGCATGATAAAAATCCCATGTCGCATGTCACGGAGGACAACATTTCCCATGTGATCCAAAACGGAATTTAGTTTGGAGAGGTCATGGGGTCACCGTGATGGCGGCGTCAGTGCGCTTTAACTCAGGGCTACAGAGAGCAGAGGTGACTCAGAAGGCACGGGGCAAAACCACTCCCACACTCCCCGTCCTTCCTACAGTCCCTGTCCCTCTGCCCAAACCTCCACCCTCACCTTCCAGCCTCTTTTCTTCCTCCTCCACAATGTTCCCAGCCTCCTGTTCCCACCAGCAGATACCCGGGCGGGTACGTTCAAGTTGGTGACGTCCAGAAGGTCCGAGTCACTGTGTGCTTCACCTCAAGCCTTCCCACCTCTAAACTTACTCTTGAGTACTGAGATGGAGGCGGGGCAGGCCAGGGAAAGCTGAGGATTTTCCACTGTGAGTTCTGTTTCTTTTATTGATGTCAACATCCTGTATTGTTTACCTTTTTTCTTCCTCATAGGAGAATGCCCACATGACTAAACAATGTCTCCCTAAATTTCTGGTTTTCATACTGTCTGTCTGTGCTGGAGAGCCGAGAGCCCCAGCCCTCCAGCCAGTCCTGGCTCTGTGTGTCCTAGAGAAAGAACTTGGCCAGGTCACTACATACCGCTAACCTCATGTGTAAAAAGGACTTAACGAGAGCACGTCAGAGTTTGGTCATTAGGGCTCAATAAAAAAGAAGTGGATGAGCTCTAAGAAGGACAAATTTGAGTAATTTGTAGGAAAACAGGCGCACTTTGACTCCGCAGTGCTAAGTAAAGTAAATGAGATGCAGAAGGTTAAGCGCTGCATGGTTTCTCTTACATGAAAAACCTAAAATATAAATACTTTAAGGAGCAAAATAAAAACAGATGGTAGGAAACAGGAAGACAGACTGTGAAGAAGGGAAGGGACCTGGGGATGGGGAAAGATGGAAGGGAAGAGAGGAGTACAGAGGATCAAGATGCGCTATTTGTGCCAACTCCTCAGAAGGAATGCACTTAATTCACATCATAAACATATAAAAATCTTTCTAGAGAGGATGAAAGGATTTGGCATGAGTCTAGACACAGTTAGCATTCCATAAACTTCAGCTGTGTCACCATCATCAACAGGGATTTTGGTGTGGCCCCACTCCCATGATCAACCAGGTAGGAATCTGATTGTGTTGGAATTAAACCAGTAAAGGATGGTGGAGTGATTTCTAGCTTACACAGCAAAGAATTTTCTTGCAAGCCACTCACTCTTCTGGTACAAAGGGTTTTAAAGTAACAAGTGACTCAGTTCCCAGCTGTAACATTTTCAGGGACTCTGAGCCACTGTTCCCCTGAGCCATCCCTGGATGATGGCTAGGGGAATGAGTGAGGGGGATGTGCTGTGGAACTGAATTTCATACCAACACAGTAAGGACGGTGGAGAGGATTTGTCATGGCCTTCCAAGATGATGGGGCATTTTCTGGTAAGCACCATTTATTTAGTTCACTTAAGTGTAGCCGACCAAAAACTCCCCACGTTATAGAAAGTTACAAGGTCATATACAAATTACCATCTTGATGACCAGCACTCACCAAGCATGATGAATGGCAGGGACAAACAAGAAACAACAATGCTATGATCTGACCGCACCCCAGCTCCCGATCAGAAGGTGTCCAAATGGGGTGGGAGCTCCTACTCTCGGAATACGAGAAATACAGGCGGTGACTGTCACATGCATGTTACAAAAGCAAGATACTCACTTCTTAGGTCAATGATCTGATTAATATTATTCTTTCCTAGCAGTAGCTATGGACAGTACTGAGTTCTTTTTGTAATTGTATTTTTTTTTTCTGGTACTGGGAATCGAACTCACCACCTTGCGCTTGCCAGGCAGGTGCTGTGCCGCTGAGCTAAACCCCCAGCCCCTTCTTTTTGTAATTGTAAAAAGGTCAGACTTATGGAAAGGCCACAAGAAGACTACAAAGAAGTCCTGTACATCTTATATACCCTGATGCCCCAATTTAAACCTTTTATCATATTTGCTATCAACCAATCAATAGGGTTTGAAAACTCTCTCCCAGGGGCTAAGTATGGTCATTGCCTGCTTTTGCATAGCCTGTAAACTTACTTAACAACTTACACCTTTAAATGATTAAGTGTTTGACATAATCTTTCATGACACAGGAAGATCATATGAACTTCAAATTTCAGTGTGCACAATAAAGTTTTATTGGAATACTCCATGTGCCTTTGTTTCTTTTTTTTCTTTTCTTTTTTTTTTTTCTTTTGGTCTTTCTGAGACAGAGTCTCACTGCGCAGTTCAGGCTGCCCTTGAGCTCACTTTGTAGCCCAGGCTGGCCTCGAACTTGCAACGATCCTCCTGCCTCAGCCTCCCGAGTGCTGGGATTACAGGTGTGCGCCACCACACCCGGCCCCTTTGTTTCTATGTTGTCTATGCCTGTTTTTGTGCTACTACAGGAGGGTTAATTATTTATTATTTGGTCCTTTACAGGAAATGTTTGATGGCCACTGACCTCTAACTGTATTGATTCCTCCAATGCCAATCCAGTACTACACACTCACTGTCCTCTTTCCAGTTCTGTAAGGCCCTTCCGTCCGGGAGGAACATGGCTCCTATTATCCTCAAGATATTTACTGATTTTCTGAACTACAGGAAGAGCCAAAAGTAGTTTCAGAACTGCTAAGCAAAACAAGGAAACAAAAAGCCCATGAACACAAAACAGAAATGAAAACGAACAGCACACTTTGAACTTATTCTTTAGAGTTTTCTGTTCTGCTGTTAGTTAAAATACTATGTTCTCAATTAGCTGTGGTGAGTTCTCCCTCACCGTCCGTGTGGTCACACGCATTGGAAACACTCATTTGCTCTTGTGTGTACTGCATTTTAGGGATTTTTCTTCCATTCTTGTTGATTTCTATTATTTTTAATTGTTGAGTATATAAAAGATTAACAAATCGAACATAAATAAACAAACAGAAAGGTAAGACACTTAATTGGTTGTGGTGTTGGTTTTGTTTCATTTTGCAAGAAACAAGTACGTACATGTCTATTTTAATAAATCCCCCTTCTTATCCAAGAGGTGGCCTTCTGTGGTTGCTCTTCCGCTGTTCTAGTTTCAGGTTTCAGATGTCTTGGAAATCTTTCCCCACCAGTTCCTAGAGAGTCTCCTCATTCTCAGTTACAGCTGCTTCAGGCCCCACTCTGTGGATTTACCATCATTTACTTTTCCACTGCCTTACATTTGGACGTGTTCTCAATATCTTGCAATTACTGCCATTAACACTGCAGTGAGTAATCTCTGACACGTCTATTTTTATATACTCGGAGGTGTGTCTTCAAGGTAAAGTCCTTGAAGTGGATTCCTAGAACAAAGGGAAAACGCATACTGGGTTGTGTGAGAGATCCACAAATTCCCTCCCCCAGGCGGTGCTCATCTGCTTCCTCACCAGCAGTTGAGGAGCGTGCTGGCTCCTCAAGAGCAAAGCCACATGCCTGGTCCAGCCTTTAAGTAACCCTCAGCCTGCCACACGAGAACCAGTACCCCAAGGTAGTTATGATTTGGGTTTGTTTTCATTATGTGTGGAACGGCTTACGCTTAAGGTTATTTACGCAATACGCACATATACACACATGCACCGTACACGGTAAGCTGTGTCTTTTGCCCCTTCTTCTATCACGCGGTCTCTTTCCTTGACTTTGTCATTTGTCTTGTTCATGGTGTTTTCTTTGCCACACAAACGTTTTTTGTTTTTGTTTAGTCAAATGTATCAATCCTTTTTTTTTTTTTTTTATTGCTTAGCATTTCAAGTCATAGTTAGTCTCTCTCTGCGATTAGATTTCATAGAAATTCATCTGTGTTTTCTTCTAGTTATTTTCCTGGCTTTTTCAATATGGTACTTAGATTTCTGACCCACTTACTTTAGCATATGATGTGAGTTTATTCTGGTGTAAAGTGTACCTAATTTTCTTCTTTCTTTTCTTTTGTTTCCTTTTTTTTTGAGATAAGTTCTTGCTATGTAGTTCAGACTGGCCCTGAACTCTCAGTGATCCTCCTGCCTCAGCCTCTCGAGGGCTGGTATTACAGAGGTGCGCACCATGCCCAATTAAGTGTATCTAATTTTCACTTTTCAAAATGACCAGAGGGTTCTATTGACAAATCACACTATTCTAAAACAGACTTAAAAATTTTTACACAATTAAGACATTTTTAATCAAACCAACCTGTTTGGGTTTTTACTAAGTAAGCATCTATAAACTGTCATTTTAAAAAGATTTACATGTTAACTGAAATATGGAAAACTTTGGGTTAATAAAAAAATCACACAAAAGCTTTTCTTACAGGACTTTCCATACCCTTTAAAACCCTGTGACTCGCAAAAGAGGAGGACAGAACATGTAGCACTGCCCCACTTTACGCGACTCTTGTGACCATGCAATACATCTTGAGAAATGCTGCTCCAGCACAGTACCTTTTTCTCATCCTGGTGGCATTTCTTTTTCTTTCTGTATTACTTCATGTAAGTGTCTTAGTTACTTTTCTTGTCACTGAAAGAAAATACCCGACACCCACAGATTGCAGCCGATGGCGGGCAGAAGCAACAAGGGATTGTCACAGCTCTGTCTCTCTTATCTTATCCAGGTTACTTAGGGCGGGTAGCG